CTTGAAGCGTTCTCGAAGTAGATGTTTCCCGTGGCTCACGGTCAACCTCTCCCTTGTTACAGCTATGGAGTCAGTCAAGTTTTGTGTGATCGATGGCAGAGTATCGCAGCGAAACTCCAGCAACTGTCTCCAAAACTCAAAAAAGTTGTCGCTCCACGACAGCCGAGACCACGCACTTAGAATATGACGCGACTTCAGATATTGGAACATAGCTGAAAGTCCTATCTTATTGACGTAGTGGTAGATCATCCTCTTTCGAAAGACATCTGCCCTTTCTGCTCAGCCGCCTTCTTGCGACAAAAAATACGATTCCCACGAGCACCTCAAAATCGACCTCACTGCCTTTTTCAGCTCATAACTGCCAGCCTTTTGAGAGTTAAGCGGCCATTCTTCGGTTGGATGTTGGCAACAAGTCACTGATAGTGGTGGTGCATATAATGATGATAGATCATGCATGTGCTTGAAATAGAGTAGGCTCAAAAAGAAGTTCAAAATACGCACGAACTTTGAGACAACCTAGAATATTGTACAACGCTTTTCTCGCTCTCATATTGTTCACGTGTATGAGAGTGAGACTGACTTCAAAGAAACAGAAAACAGAGAACACTGGTGTTCTTGGCAGTCGCAAAGGGGTTTCAGTCACAAGGTTTTCACTTTATCCATGATCTTGAAACTTTTAGATTTGTCCCACTTGTGGCAAATTAGCAGAATCGTATCCTAACATCTACTTTTTGCAAATACAAATTCGTTCGAACGTAAGAAATTCAGCTCTCTCTCTATTTTAGGTTTTCCCGGGGTGATATTCCTGTTGGGCTCCTCACCTACCCAATCCTGCAAGCTGCCGACGTCTTAATGTTCAAGGTGTCTTTTTCTACGTGAAACCGATTCACTGCTCCGAAAAATCATGAAATCTGTGTTTAAAGGACTGGATTCCAGGCGACTCATGTTCCGGTCGGTGCCGATCAGGCTCAACACATGAATCTGTTGGCCGATTTAGCTGACCACTTCAATGGCTTCTATAAGATTCTGTATTTTCCACGACCTCAACAGGTGCTGATCCC